TTTCACATAGATTTTTGATCCAAAAAATTAAAACAAAACGAATTATCAACGTCATTTATGAAATACGTAAACCAAAAGCATGATCAAAGTCGAGCGAATCTTTCATTGCACTCTTCAATTTGATTTTACTTGACTGACACACATACCAAATGTTTAAAGATTGTATAATATAATGCAGTGTACTATGTAAAACTTGTGAGAAATTTATTTTTCACTCCAAGATGAAATAAATTCAAACTCTTTTGTCTCATAATCTCTGTTTACATTCTTAAAATTCTATGTAGTTATGCTACCTGGTTACAGCCTTGTTTTGTTTTTGTTTATTCACGAAAATCTTTTTCCAGTGATTATGAACTATAGGTTTGCGTCAACTAGAAGATTTATGCGGTTAAATCATAACTTCAACTTGACCCGCCTATATGTTATTTTCAGTAAAAGAAATATATCCGTTTGAGATTTTCCACTTTAACCTAACTGGCTGAGGGAAGTCAATGATGCCGAATATTCATACGATGATATGCATTCGAGTCTCCAGGTTTAGCTTGCTTTGTAGGCTATCCACTTTGCACGAATGAGACGGATTCAAGAAAGTGATCAAAGCTGTATCTGTGATTGTTCGTATTTATTAAGAACTGATCTCGTGCTGTAATGGGATTTTTGGGGTCATACTGGTTAAAGCATTCTATTCTGTTTATGATTATCAAAATATACACATTGATGATCCTGATGACAGACCATCTCTAGTACGCTACTCCACTACTCTTATTTCTATTTATGTTGAAATCGATAAACGTTCAGTAGCCTCGTTGGGATTCGAACTCGCATATGGACGCCTCATACGCTTTTCGCACAACGCAGGCTCTGTCATCTGAGCTACGAGGCCACAACGATAGCACTGATCGTTTCACGTTCAAATCGGCCATTCAACATACCGAGGTATAAGGCATCCACCAGGTAGCAAATAAGCCGACGGCCGCGACGTGTTTTCCTCAGAATTCACCGAGGTCCACCGAACTTCTGAGTTAGGTTAATTAGTCAAATGATTCTTTGACAGACTGAAGTTTTATGCTGCGTGGGTTCGAATCCCTGAACTCATCGCAATTTTGACAAGCAACCATTATTTCTTGTTTGTTCACTTTTAATTTCTGTGAATGTGCCATGGAAAGCAAAATATCGAATTAATAAAGATGCTTCACCAGAGGTGAAGTCTTAGGCGTTGATAATTTTGTAAAATCCTCTTTGTTCTGGACAACTATCATCGATATAAGAGGAACTTCGCATAGCAACAAATTCAGATGTTCGTCTCATAGTGCATCAAACTAAATAAATCATGTCTGTGCCCAAACCTAAATTATCTATTGTTAGAATTCAAATACTATGCAAATGTAGAACGAGTATGTTGAATCAGACAAACAGACTGGCATACCGTTATTCGAAAGAGAAGTCTGCTTTTGGACCTGCTGCTGTGCATCATTCACACATGTGTTATGATGCACATTTTTGTTTGCGGATCTAATCTACAAAGCGCATTACCGCGCATAGCAGCCTATGCGATTCGTGAGTTTATGGATGCGGGGTTGCCACAAGGTGAGTGACTGGGTGGGTACAGTTCAAGACAGTGACAAACTGCGTGTCATAAAACATCAACATCCTCGCTAGATCAAAGCCTGTTCGGATAACATAACATATGTCAATTCAGGGCTTTGACGGTGGATAGCAAAGGGAACCGCCATTTTTATTTTTGTTATTCCGTTATCTGCATGCGGGTGTTATCTCCATTGAGTTTTCTATCTGTATACTTCCAGAGAGAGAGAGAGAGAGTTGTTTTGACTTATCTTTATTATTCACTGTTTTTTTGTTGCATGTCGGAAGACGGCCTCACATATTTATTGCCTTAGTATGCAGAGCAATCTGTCGGACTGTCATCCTAAACTGTTTTCACTCAGGCTTGGATTCGGTCGCCTTGAATTACAAAGCAAATAGGGTACGAGGTAAAGCTAATACCACACCAAACGGAACGTATGAAAGCATCATAGCCGATGAAAGTGATGATAATCTGGTAATGTTTTTCTCCGTTATTCCGCGGCTGAATGAATCACAGTGTGCAAAAACGCGGTTTGATTAATTATATCTGAGTTGAGCAACTTGGGTTGTTTCTGGATGTCGGTCACTGTATACATACTTCATGAAGATCACAGAAGTCATCCTGTATTTCAGGATTAAGAAGTGCTTCGAGCAGATAAGGAAGTGCAACCGCATTTTTTGGAGCATCGCGAAACAGTACAAAGTCTTGCAGGGCACTGGAATCATTGTTTGTAGTTCACAAGTTTCTCAGAATAAGATGGTGATAATGTTCTCTCGTTTTGATAATTCTTGCAAACCAACTGAAGTATTTTGGTATCGCCTGAAGGAATAAGATGTTTCAACTTGATACCTTTGATTCCATTCATTTTTGCTTTATTTTGTTGAATAAATAATAACACATTTTTAAGGAATCAAAAAATGGTCAAGTAAAGGGTTGCAATACAACACACATTGAGGAAACTTAGGCGATGAACGCAGGACTTGATTACGAGTGCTTCAGGGCGATAATTTAGTGACCTTTACTACTCGCCTCATTCTGATTCAGGCACATTCGTGCTCTCTATATATAATGGTCACTAAAACAGATGTTAAGTGAGCCGAAGATATTATAGAAACCGTCTAATCTGAAAACATACAGGTCGAGCATGTTGTGCATGCATGAATTGTATATCGTATTAAACCACCCTAAGAATAGTGTTTTATAATGTTTTATAGATTCTTTCGGTAAATATGCAGCGGAAATGTTCCATGTGCAGTGAAGTGGCTTTAATATTCTCAGACAAATCAGTTGACTTTGGAACATTGGATTGTTTATGTCATCAACCAGCGACAGAAGTTATTCAGGAAATCATTGTTAAGTGCTCTCAGATTACAGTGTCTGCATTCGGCGAAAAAACAGATGTGAGTTTCGTGTCGAGTCACATAGCCGGAGTAAAATGGCGTTGATCGGTCGGAAAAGTGAACAACTGGAGGACATGTTTGCACGTCGATCCTCGAGCAGCTTGGATAAAACAACAATGGTAATGCAGATTTCCATTCAGGTCGACGCTTTGCTAAGACAAGGTTTTGGTGTGTGAGTCATGAAAATCCAGGGTAGTTCGTCGTTTACACCCAACAACTAACTTTCGCTCCACGAATTCACAAGTATTTCGAAAAAACAGGTATATCACAACCCACCATGTAGCTAAGCATCACATATCAAACCAATAAAACAACTGGTATGCGAGA